ATGTTTAAAATTGGCAACAGGGTGGAGAACACTTAGCTAAAGACCAGGTTTGACAGATTCACAGACGCCCACTGCTCCACCTCCGTGAGTCCCTTCTTTATGACCCCACAGCAAAACCAGGAGAATCGTGAATGAAAAAGTAAAACTGGGACTTGGACTATCACTTTTAGGTTGGGCGATCTACTTCTGTAGTGATTCTGCCTCGGAAACCCAAGGAGGGGTCACTATGAGTCAGATCGAACTCAGTGGCACATAACAACAACAACAAGAAATTCTGGAAACCAAGGCCTGCCTCAAGGGAGGAAGGCTTGCCTTGGAGAATGGGCTGGAAGCTGCAGCTTTTTGGGTGGCTGCCTCTGTTAAAGGGGCTCTGATGGAGCAGTGATCAAAGCATTCAACTGTGAGCCTTAAAGTCAATGGTTCAAACCCACCACTGCTGTGGGAGAAAGATGAGGCAGTCTGCTTCCATAAAGATATACAGCCTTGGAAACCCTATGGGGGTTCTCCTCTGTCCTTCAGGATCACTATGAGTCAGAATTGACTCAATGGCAGTGGGTTTTAGTCTCTGGGAGCCAGAAGAGGGCAGGGAAGAAATTTCTCCTTCCCTCCCCACCTCTGCAGAAATTCAGATAGCAAAGGCAGGGAGCAACCAGAAGGGCAGTCGTTGCTGGAAATGAAGCATGAAAGGGTTTCCTGATGAGAGTTTTGACTTTGAACTCCAAAGTGATCATGTCCACCATTCCTCACATGACCACAACTCGCCCCCAGTGCTGCAGGTGCCCTGGAGGTGCTCAGTACCAGCAGACAGATGATCTAATCTCTGGGGGTTAGGCAGAGGCCTTGTCTGAGACTCTCTCACCACAGTTGCTCCTGGAATAAAGAAAGACTGAAAATTCCCTTACCAGAGCCACTTGACTCTCTCCAGACCCCCAGTGCCCAGCACTGGGCATGCAGAGTGAGGGCTCTTAGTAACGGAAAGAAAGGACAAAGAAAGTTTGAACAGTGTAATCTGCAATGCCAGAAAGCCTGCCATAGCTCTCCTCACTCTCTTCTATGACCTCTGAGGCCCTGCCTGTGCACCCCACTTCTTTGTCTGGCCTTACCTTGTTCTATACTCTCCTCGGCTCACTTGGGCCCAACTCCCTTGGATCTTCAGACATGCTGCACTGCTCACTTCTGACCACATGATCCTTGCTGTCTGGCATACTCTTTCCTCTGCCACCTTCTCTCAGAAACCCCTCCTCATCTTCCATGTCTCATCCTAAGTGTACCTTCCTTAGGGAGGCTCTCTCCACCCCTGGCCTCATTAGCTCCCCCTCCACTGGAACCCAGGATGCCAGGACTGTAAGCTCCCTGGTATCACCTGCCTGCTGTACTGTGTCTGGCACATATAATGACACATATATCTGGGTATAAAAAATATAGATAAATATCTGTAAAAAGATGAGAGGCATGGCAGGTGTGGGCCCTAGTATGGGGCAGGGCTAGGGACCCAGAGAGTTGATCCTTAGAGATTGGGGCACTCATCCTTGACACCACCACCACTGCCCTCCAGTTGATTTCCAGCTATATGCATACCTTCCTGACCAGGAAAGGTCTGCTGGGTAATTCCCAGGGTGAAGCCAAAAGCCTGTGGCACACACAGTAAATGGTGAGGATGTGGTAGGAGACACAGAGCCTGGGAGGTAGTTGTAGCCACCCAACACAATTGTTGCGATGGTCTCCCAGGCTGCCAGTGTTAGAGAGGGTTCTAACTGCAGACCTCTGGTGGCCCAGGACAACCAGCTCAGAGAAGGTATATGCCCCCAAAAGTCTGGAAGGGCAAGTTGTAGGGTTAGGGCCAGTAAAGGTGAGATGTTTCTGCCCCTATGACCTGGCCTGGTCCATTCCTGCTTAAGGCATGTTGTTAGGAGCCTGACAATTCACTAGTGCTTCTGAGTATTGACCCTACGTCCATCCACTGTGTACACCAGCTTCCCAGCATCTGTGTGTAAAAGATTGTCCCCAGGAAGGCCTGGTAGGTCCTCCAGGACTGGTCCATGCAAACCCTCCTGCAAAAACGGCAAGGAGGCCACATGTTCTGACCTCCTCTAATCCCACAATGGGAAGACAGAATCACCATCAATAGCCCAAGGCCCATTCCTGCCAGGCCAGACATGCTGCCTCCCTCCAGCCCTTTCTCCAACCATTCCTCCCAAAGCACCCACCACCTCTCTCCTGGGTTCGATAATTCACTGCAGTGGCCACACAGAACTCACAGATTATGGGGTTTATTAGGAAAGCACCAGGCTACAATTCAAGTTTAGGAAAAATGGTCAGTTTCTCTCCCAGCCCACCGTCTCTCAGCCAAGTCTCTCCCTCAGCAGTGCATGTCCCTCGGTGTCTTACTCAGCAACACGTGTCTCTTGCGTCTCTTTCCCAGCAGCACGTGTCTCTTTCAGCAGCACATCTTTCTCAACCAGCAGTCAGAGAGAGTTCTGCCTCTAGGAGGACTCCTTTTGAGCTTGGCAGAGTGGTCAAACCAACCAATCATAATATCAGAATTCTAAGCACCTGAGAGAGAGCCACCCATAACATTGCGTTGTGCCACGCCCAACAGAAATAACCCAGGTGGATAATATTTACAATCAGGAGCTCCTCAGTTGCTCATTCCACCACTGAGTTTACAATGACTTATGGGTAGAAAAGCCATACTAAGTAATTTACTTCACTGCACTTCCACACAGAGACTTCATCACCATTGACATCAACAGCATCTTTCTGCACATATACTGCATCCTGATTTCTGGTCCATTTGCCAAAACTAGATTTCACCCTGTGTTGGGGGCTAGGGGGCAAACACCTATACCTTGGGCAAGACTATTCCTCCCCCTCCCCTGAAATGGCCAAATTATCCAAGCCCAGAAAGAAGGCAAATCCAGCAACCAGCCACATCTTTCCCTGGGCAGGAGTGGTTTTGGAGTGAGACAAGATCACTATTTCTATTACTGTGTAGCTATACTGAGTTGAGATTTGGGTTTGCAAGCTAAGAACTCCTAAGAATGTGTCTTATACCAGGAAGAAGAGGGATACTGGCAAGATTGAGAGGATAGGAGAGCATCATCCTTGTCAGAGCATAGAGACTCCCAGAGAGCAAATAGATTTGATTATATTGAACACAGCAATTGATTGTTTTCTAAATAAACATGCAGGAGGAAATGGTAATGGGCATCTGTTTCTGATGGAAATCAATTGACCCCAAATTGGAAGAAAATTTAGAAACACAAACAAGCACAAGAAAAAGCAGTGGAGCATCCAGGCTTGTAGAGAGGAGGGAGGGAAGGAAGGAAGCAGACAGACAGACTCCTGCCTTATATCTTTCCCTACCAAGTAGCTCCCCTGTTTACTGTTCCTTGTTACATGTGGTCCCAGTAATGGTAAGAGAAAAAGTAGCTATCACATTATGAATCCTTATTTGGTGCCAACGGATCACTGGTGGCACAACAGTTGAGTGCTTGGCTGCTAACCAAAAGGTTGGCAGTTAGAACCCACCCAGTGGCTCTGCAGAAGAAAGACTTGGTGATCTTCTGCTCCTGTAAAGATTGTTGTTGTTGCTGTTGTTGTTGTTGAATGCTGCTGAATCAATGCTGACTCATTACAGCCTAGGAAACCTTCTGGGGCAGTTCTATTCTGTCACATGGGGTCACTAGGAGTTGAGATTGACTCAGCAGCACACAATAACAACAACATTCAGTGCCAAGCTGGTACTAAGCCCTTTATGCACTCATTCTCACTGCCGTCAAGTCGGATCCGATTCATAGCGACCCTCCTTGGGTTTCTGAGGCAGTATCACTATGGAAGTAGATTGCACAACCTTCCTTCCGAGGAGTGGCTGGTAGGTTTGAACCTCCAGCCTTCTGGTTAGCAGTCAAATGCCTTAGGCACTATGCCACCAGAGCTCCCCCTTTATGCACATACCTTATTTAATCCTCATAACAACCCTGTGTAGGAAGTACTGTTATTATCCCCATTTCATGGATGAAATCAATGAGGCAACTTGTCCGAGGCCTCACAGCCAGGCAGCAGCAGACATGATGCTCAAAACTCGTGGCCTCTGAGGCCCATGCTCTTCAGCCTTGCTTTATCTCCACTCTCCAGCCCTGACCTGTTACCTGATGCCCTGAACTGGCCTAGGAATTGAGGGGAGGTGCCTCAGGCCCGAAAAAGCCTGTTCCCTTTCTCCAGGATTCAGCAAAACCAGGCACAGGAAGTACTGGATCTCCTAGAAGACTGGGAATGGGGCTGGAGGCAGGGGCCTGTTCTGCTAACATCTCCATGGCCCTTGTTTATAGGCCATGCCCCATATGGTGTTCATCCTAGTGACCCATCACCAAGATAAACTGTGTCATGTCACAGCGCATCACAAACCTCATTTGCCAAAATGCTGTGCAGCTCTGACGCTGCTCAGCAAGCATGCCTGTGATAAAAGGCCTGAGAGTAATGGGCTGTGTGCTTTGGTTTTGATTTTGAAAAGCTTCCTTTTGTTTTTTGGTCATAGGCTTGTGTACACATGTTTGTTTTGAAGTAATCCAGCTCTGGGAGTGTACCTAATTAACTTAAGCAGGGCTTATTAGTCCTGTTAACTAAAACTAATCTATGAAGCCAAGTATTCAAAAGCAGCCTTTAAGGTAGGATTAAGGCAAATACAAGCTGCTACAAAATGGAATTGGGGCTAGCTTTCCCAAAGCCACTGCAGGGCTATTATGGTTGTGAATTCCCCTGGATGTGTTCCCCATTCCATCAGGCACTCACTCTAGGCCAGCATATAGTAGGTGCTCAGTAAGTATCTGTGTAACAGATGGGTGGACAGACAAACAGGTCCATCTATTTGTACCATGCTTTGCACACAAAAAATTCCCAAGCGCTATATGTGAGTGAGATAGATGAATGGACAGATGGAGGGAACATTCTCTGAGACCAAGGGATGGCTCTCACTGCAATAACCTCATCTCCTCTCTCAGGTGACACGTGCACCATGGCTGAGTACACCCGTCTGAAGAATGTTCTTCTGGCACTCCAGACCCATCTGCAGCCACTCCAAGAAGGGGACAATGGGCAAGACCAGCCCTCCCAGAAGCGCCTCCTGGTGGAGTTTCTGTTTAAGGACTTGGATGCAAATGATAACGGCCACCTCAGCAGCTCCGAACTGGCTCAGGTAGGTATGATGCTCAGTGGAAACTGAGTTAGGGAGCAATCCAGTTTCTCATTCAGCATATAAATGGGAGAGAACACAGGAGATGCGCATGGGGAGAGTAGTTTGTAACTGCATAGCAAGAATACAGAGGAGGCCTCTCTCCTGTAAGAGGAACCATCTTAACCCCTCCTGGGAGTCAGAGAGCTGGTGTTCAGTGCCTCTGAGAATATATTACAAACAAAATCATGTCAGTTTCTTCTTCCCACTAGCCACCTTCAGCCAATATTTACAAACAAAGTTTGAAGCACTCTCAGCTAGCTGGTAAAATACACTTCAGAGGGTCTGGTCTCTGATGTTTTAATTGGGAAATAAATCTTTTCTTCGTTGAGTTCTTTACTTCTCTCAGCAGGATGGTTAAAAGGAAGCAGCACTGGGTTTCCACTAAACATCTTTGTAGCTGCAACTTGAGTGTTCCCAAGTCTTCTGCCCTGTAACAGCCCCATTATCTCTAGTATGCAGAGATCCCTGGGCAGTGCAAATGGTCTGCACTCAACTACTAACATAAAGGTTGGGGTTTGAACCCACCTAGCAGTGCCATGGAAGAAAGACCTGGCAATCTGCTTCTGTAAAAAGATTGTTGTTGTTGTTGTTGTTGTTATGTGCCGTCGAGTCGGCCCCGACTCATAGCGACCCCTCCTTGGGTTTCCGAGGCAGTATCACTACGGAAGTAGGATTGCCCAACCTTCCTTCCGAGGAGTGGCTGGTGGGTTTGAACCGTCAGCCTTCTGGTTAGCAGGCAAGTGACTTAACCACTATGCTACCAGAGTAAAAAGATTACAGCCAAACAAATTCTGGCACTCTATAATACATGGTGTCACCATGAGTCGAGATGACAGCAACAGGTTTGATTCTATAGTGTGCAAATACAAACAGCCCAAACCCTAGTTTCTTGCTTGTAGGAAGCTCTCTGTCTACCCTCAAGCACTTCGGAGCACCCCACCCCCAAGGACATCCTACCTTCTCTTGCCAACCACAGCTGCTGACCACTTCTACAGGCCCTTTAAGCCTGTTCTGTTTCACCCCAAATCAGGCACTGGTCCTCCATCCTGCCTCCAAGGCCCACCGTCGGCAGGAGTGGGTAACCACATTGTACTGAGGCTCTAGGGTAGAGCTGGAGGGCTGAGGAATGGGAGGGAATTACAGCAGATGGGATGCCAGACACCCCTTCCCTAACGCCCATTGCCAGCAGTCCCGAGTGGTCATGACTCCTGTAGTTGTCGGGGCCCAGAATCACAGGCAGGGTCCGTTTTCTCTGCTTCTCCCTGTTTCTACACTCCTCCTCCAATTCCTGCCCCTTGAGGTGGTGAGAACATTCTATCATTTTACTTTCTCATAGTGGGAAATTTCTCTCCTATTTTTCTCAATTTCTCCCATTCAGACTCAGGTGTTAATTTTGCAAAAAAAAAAAAAAGGGGGCTTAATCCAAGATTTTTCCCAAATGGTGAGCCCCTAAGGTGAATTCTGCTTCCTCTCCAAAGGCTGCAGGTTAGAACACAACACAGCACATGTGTTGGTATCTGCAACATAAACCCACTATCATCGAGTCAATTCTGACTCAAAGCAACCCCAATAGGGTTTCCAAGGCTATAAATCTTTACAGAAGCAGAATACCTTGTCTTTCTCCTGTGGAGTGGCTGGTGGGTTTAAACCGCTTAATTTTTGGTTAGCAGCCCAGTGCCTTAACCACAGCACCACCAGAGCTCCTTATTTGCAACATAAAGGAGCATGGAAAGAGTAACATTGCTCCCTGGGGCTATACTCAGGCCATTGCAGGAAGGGGCCTCTCAGACTGGCTTGCTTCTGAGGACCTGGGGCTCTGGAGCTACAGTGACTGGGCAGGTGCACAGATATGGAGGGAAAGGTAGGTCAGGCTCTGTGGGCAGAGTGGAGGAGAGGGGTAGCAGCAGCTCTTCCTTAGAGGCCACAAAGTGTCCACCCAGAGGATGGGTGATAAGGATGAGTCCCCACCTTTGAGGCCACTTTAAAGAAATCCCAGCATAGCACAGTGGCTTCTCTAGGCTGTGGCCAGGTCATTAGGAAGGATTTGTTAGGAAGTACCCACCATTTATTAGGCTTCTACTATATGTCTGTCACTAAGCGAGGCCTTTTACTCATGATGTAATTGTATTAGTTTCTTAGGGCTGCAGTAACAGAATATGAGCCTTAAAATAACAGAAATGTCTTCTCTCACAGTTCTGGAGGACAGAAGTTCAAAATCAAGGTGTTTACAGAACCACACTCCTCCAAAGACTTTGGAAGCAGAAATCCCTCCTTGCCTCTTAAAGCTTCTGGGGCTCTAGGTATTCCTTGTCATTGGCTTGTCATTTGTCATTGGATTTAGGGCCTACCTTGGAAATTCAGGACCATCTCACCTTGAGATCTTTAGCTAAATTATATCTCCAAAGACCCTTTCTCAAAATAGGGTCATATTTACAGGCTTCAAGGGATTCAAGCATGGGAGTATCTTTTAGGGGGCCACCATTCAACCTTTAAAAAAAAAAAAAACCCACTGCCATTGAGTCAACTCCTACTCATAGCGACCCCATAAGACAGATTAGAACTGCTCCATAGGGTTTCTAAGGCTGTAAATCTTCATAGAAATAGACCGCCTCATCTTTCTCATGCAGAGCAGCTAGTGGGTTCAAACCACCAACCTTTTGGTTAGCAGCCAAATGCTTAACCACTACACCACCAGAGCTCCCTCCATTCAACCCACTGAAGTAATAAACACAGAACAGTTCCTTGCTATGTGGTATAAAACCAAAAGACCCATTGCCATCAAGTTGATTCCAACTCATAGCAACCCTATAGGACACAGTAGAACTGCCCCACAGGTTTCCAAGGCTGTAATCTTTATGGAAGCAAATTGTCACATCTTTCTCCCTCAGAATGGCTGGTGTGTTCAAACTGCCAACTTTTCACTTAGCAGCTGAGCACTTAACCACTGTGCCATTCCTCACTATGTGGCATTTTGTTGTTGTTGTTGTTATTGTTGTTGTTAGGTACCATTGAGTTGGATCTGACTCATAGCGACGTTATACACAACAGAACGAAACAACTGCCTGGTCCTCCACCATTCTCACAATCGTTGCTGTGCTTGAGCCCGTTGTTGCAGCCACTGTGTCAATCCGTCTCGTTGAGGGTCTTCCCCTTTTTCACTGACCTTCTACTTTACCAAGCATGATATCCTTCTCCAGGGACTGGTCCCTTCTGACAACATGACGAAGATGAAGTGAGACATGTGAGACAAAGTCAACATGTGAGATGAAGTCTAGCTACTCTCGCTTCTAAGGAGCATTCCAGCTGTACTTCTTCTAAGACAGATTTGTTCGTTCTTCTGACAGTTGATGGTATTTTCAGTATTCTTCACCAGCACCACAATTGAAGTGCATCAATTCTTCTTCGGTCTTCCTTATTCATTGTACAGCTTTCAAATGCATATAAGGTGATTGAAAATACCATGACTGGGTCAGGCGTACCTTAGTCTTCAAAGTGACACTATGTGGTATAGTGGATGCTCAAATAATTTCTTTTAGGAAGATCAGCACAAGGCTGGTCCCTATGAGGTGAAGGTTAAAGATGTCCCAAATGTCCAAGTTTTCCAAATTGCTATACCATTCCATCAGGAGCTCTGGTGGCATAGTGCCTAAGGAATTTGACTGCTAACAAGAAGCCTGGCAGTTCAAACCTACCAGCCACTCCTCAGAAGGAAGGTTGGGCAATCTACTTCCATAGAGATACCGCCTTAGAAACCCAAGGGAGGGGTCGCTATGAGTCTGAATTGATTCAATGGCAGTGAGTTTGGTTTTTTGGTTGATACCATTCCATCATCTCTAACTTCAACTCCATCTCCCCTCAGTACTTTCCCTCCATCTTAGGGTTTCTTATTTTGCTATAATGTCTCACAGAACTCACACGCTGTCAAGGAAATGACTCACGCAGTGGTGGAGGCAGGGAGACTGGCAAGTCCCAAATCCATAAGTCAGGCGTAGGTCTGAAGGAATTTCCTCACTCCCGGGGGCTGGTGAACCCAAATCAGCAGGTCAGATGACTGGCTGCTGTCTCAAGTCCAGGGGTGAGATGATGACCAATCAAAACAGGATCCACAGCAAGAGAAAGTGACTTTACCAGCACATTTGCACATATACCCTCAAGGAAAGTGAGGGTGGCAACTTGAGTCACACCCTCCAGCAAGGCAGGACCCCAGCTACATCCCACCTTAAACAGGCATAAACCAAACCAAACCAAACTCACTGCCGTGAGTTTAACCAGTCGCCATCAAGTTGCTTCCAACTCATGGTGACCCCTTGTGTGTCAGAGTAGAACTGTACTTCATGTGGTTTTAATGGCTGATATTTTGGAAATAGATCATCAGGCATTTCTTCTGAAATGCCTCTGGATAGACTTGAATATCCAACACGTCAGTTAACAATTGAGCACACTGTTTGTATACCAGGGACACCTCAGTAAATAGTAGTTGGGGGGTATTATTGTTGTCATCCTCATCTTTATTATTATTCTTTCCTTAAACCTTTCAACAATCCTCTGCTGCAAGGTAGGTGGTACTATTAACTCCATTTCATAGATATTTTCAGATGAGGAAATGGAAGCTCCAAGACATCACGCAACCTGTCCAAGTTGTGTTCAGTGTTCAGGAAATGATAGAACCCACAAAACCTGAGCATCTGCTCAGAGGCTTTGTTAAGGCAAGCTTTCCCTCAAGGCTCTTCACACCAGGGCATCACTGGGCCAGAGCCTGCTTCTAAGTGCACACTGGGAATCCTCGGCCTCAGATTCCACGCTGCTCACCCACACTTGAGCAGCACATGCAATCCACCCAGGACCTGCATTCTAGGAGACCTGCTGTCCACAGTCCCAGGGCACCAGCCTGCCAGCATGTCACTCCTTCCATCAGTACTCAGCCCCTAGCTATCACTAAGACTCCAAGGGACAGGGACAGGGACCCACAGATGATCCAGATGCCCTGTTGTTGATGCCCTGGGAAGAGCATTTTCCCAGAATAACTCAGGTCCTGTGAGTTACAGTTGCCAGCAGGGAGAACCACCTGGCAATTCTCCATACTACAGGCTGCAGCAGAGTGCACTGAGGGTAGATAGCTCTTGGCTTGTCCTGGACAGAGGCATTTATGAGCTCTTGGCACTCCAGCCAGGCCCATGTGGTGCCCAGGTAGCTGCCAGATAAACAGAAATGTCCAGGGCACATTGCTCTAACCTGGCAGAGATGTGCCCCCAGGCACTTGAAGCCATTAACAAGTGTGGTAATTGGACTATGATTTCTTCTTTAAAATTTAATGTACTTAAAGTCCATTCATAAATCTGTCAAGCAGAGAACAGCTAAAATGGACCTTTCCTTGACACTGAATCACAGGAACCAGGAAAAACTCATTGGTCTTCTGAAAAGTTAATCAATTTCCAATGCAGAAATAGACAAAGGAAAATTTCCATCTTCAGAAGATTGATCTGGAGCGATATGGTTGATCTCCCTTTTATTGAACACTCTTATTTGCTAGGTGAAAGGTCATTTTTTTTTTAACATTATCACATTAATTTGCCTTTAATATAACAAGCCATGTTGAGAATATTAAATAAAGAGAAATGGTTCTGCCCCCTCCCTGAAAAATCAAATCATTTCTTTTCTTCTAAGATTGCCTTCTGAGCTTATTCCTTGCAAGAGCTCTAATTCTGGACATATCAGCTTCAGCTGAGCAGGGGTGACTGGACTTTCTACCTGTAGGCACTTTGGGGCTTCTGGCTGGTCATGCTGGGCAGTTCTCTGTGCCTTGTGGCCCAGGCCACGATCAGAGTTCACGAGGGCCCACCCACAGCCCCCTGCCAGAATCCCCAGGGCAGGCATTTGTATCCCTAAAAGGACAGAGCAAGCAGAGAAGTGGGACTCAGACCTAGGCCAGTGGAAAACAGCTGCCCTTCTCTAAGGTGTGTTGTAGCTAGGAGTCACCACCCTGAGACTAGTAAGAGCTGATATGCCACCAGAAGTAGGGGCATGGCATTGATAGGGCAGTAACCCTTCTGCACTATGCAACTGTGAGCCAAGCAGTGTAAGTTCCCCATTCTGAGTTCAACCACTGTTTATTGCATTTATGTGATCAAGCCCCTTCTTGTATTTCCATCTATAGCACAAAGGAGTAGACCAGGTGGCCTTAGCATTCTTCCTAGCTCAGGCTGTCTGGGTTCTGTCTGTTCAGATGGAAGAGGACAGACCTGAGCACCAGTTGAGATTCTGCCCCAACCACTGTGTGACTTTGGAAAAATCCCTTTCTCTCTGTGAACCTCAGTTTTCTCATCTATAAAATGAAGGGTCAGACAAGTCAAAATCAAAAACCTCTTGGTGCTCTCTCTGGAGTCCTTTCCTCCCTCAGACTGGTGACCACAGCCCCACTTAGCATTGTTTACTAGCAGTGTCCATGACACTGAACTCACTCCAGGCTCTGGCCTTGTTCCCCTGCCTTGCCCCACAGCACAAAATGAAGGAGCAGGACACGGATGAGGACTTCCTGGGCTGCTCACTGGGTGATCTTCTCCGCTTTGACGACTACAACAGTGATGGCTTCCTGACCCTCCACGAGTTCTACACGGCTTTCCGTAAGTCAGGCCCTGGGCTGGGGTCTCAGCAGGCAAAGGGTTTGTTTCTGAACCAAAACAGTGTCAGGACCTGGAGTATACCCTCAATTGTCTCAAGGTTGGTTTCTTATATAGGAGTAATCTGTTGAATTTGTTTTGCCACAAGCCTGATCTTTAAGAAAAAGAAGAATATGTGGGAGAGAAAGAGTGCTTGCCTTTTCCCTTTTTGACAAAGGCTGTTCTCATTGTTGTTTGAGTAATACAAGACCTCTATTTAAGTGTGACTGTTGGGGTACTGCTAGACACACTGTGGATTCTGACTCCACATGAAGGGAGCAGATTTTAGTGCTGTTGGGGGCTCCAGAGGCTTGTCTGAGCAGGGGCAAGTTGAAGAGAGGTGGGGGTATCCCTGGAGAAGAACAGAAAATAGATGTTCTATCTGCAAATGGAAGAGGTACTCTGCGTGGCCCTCTCTGGTGGCCCTGATACATACAAGAGTAGATAAGAGCCTTTGTCTTTTCCCTGAGGTAGTCTCCCCTAGCTGGCACTGGGACAAATGTCCCCAGAGATGAGAGATGGCTCCAGACAGAGGTTAGGAAGGAAGAGCAGTGCAGTGGCAAAACATGGGGCTGGAGGGGACGTTCTTAGCCACAGAGAGATGAAGCCCCTTTTTCTTGGTGACACCATTCAGTCTCTGGCCGAAGCATGTAATATGCATGTCCCATGTGGCATACCCTTGGACATGACCTGCAAATTCAGGGCTTCTGACTGTAGGCCCTGAAATTTGAGAAGTAGGTATAAGACCCCCAGGGGCACTGAGTACTCTAAGCCACAGATCCTGGCATCCTCCTCCCAAACCCCAATCTCTACCTAGAGTTCCAAGTTCCAGGCATTCCTTTGAGCTGTTGTTATTCCATTCACAAGGCCTGAGAAGGGGTCCTCATGATTCATTGGCAAGAAAGTCTCTTGTGGCAAATAGAGGAGGCACTTGAATGACACAAGAGGAGAAAAACTAGTGTGGCTCTTACCAGTGAGCAGTATCTGAGCTTGAGGTAGGAGTCTAGTCCACAGAGTCCTATTGCCCAAGGCCAACTAATAATTACAGGGCTTTGTTTGATATTCTGTGACTGTGCATGGTTCTCCATCATCCTCCTCCTGTCCACCATGAAAACTCATATCTGCTTACAGTAGTTCATAATCAGGCATAAATGACAAGTAGGCTTAATCTGCTATAAGAAGTGTTTGCTTTGTGAATCAAGAGGCTTGCTCCTTGGAATAGAACTCAAAGTTTTGAATATGTGGAATTATCAGATGATCCCTAGACTTGGCTCATGAGTGCCTACTGTGAAATTTTCAGGAATTTTGTAAGGTGGTTTTCAAACATCTGGTAGTTTGAAATCAGCCGTGGTGGGACCATTTACATTACAGAAATTTATACCACACATATGCTCCAGAACAAAGAAAATTTTGTTTCCAGAGAGCCAGTTGTTAATCATCAACCAGCCCACCACTGGATAAGACCCTCCCTCCTGTCCTCAGCCTCTTCTTTCTGCAATATCCTCTGCACCCACCTTCCCCAAATGGAGACCCTTTGATGACTCTAATTCCAAAGGACATGAACAAGAAAAGAGTAGAGCAGTGAGGGCAGATTGAGGGAGAGCTGTCCTCTAAATCAGGAAAGAAGCCATGTGTTTCCTGGGCATAGTTCTAAGACATTGCCAGAATGTTTCCTGGCCTCAGGCCCCTCTGCAAAAGGAGTTATGAATGAAAAGGCCCAAATATTTTAAGAACCAGGAACCAAGGCTAGACTTCAGGGATTCAAGGAATACCCTAAACATCACTACTCATGCGTCCCATGATGGCATCATTAAGCAGCTAATGTCAGTGTGTAGACACCATTCTGGTACTTTCCAGGGCCCCTGTAGTAGCCCCTGTTCCTTGAGCTCAATTCCTGGCAATTAGTCTGGGACCAAACAGAAAGCTATTAGTTCTTCTTTCAAGGAAATGGAAGCATCACTATTGCCCGTGATGAAAGAGAAGGCCCTACTACCTTCCCTAATGAAGGATGTTATAGCCACAATCTCTCCATGAAGAAGGAAGGGATGTCACCACTTCACTTCCAGCTGTATGTCTCATACACAGCAATGTGGTATCTACTTCCCTCATTCCTAGTTATTATTTGAATAGCTTTATAATGATCATTTTTAAAGCAAATTAGAGTCTGCTGTTGCCTTGGACTTGTTTTGAACCAGGCAGCCAAAGTATTCATCACAGTGCAACCCAAATAATAGATACGCAATAAAATGTAAACCCACAGCCATTAAGGAAGCCACAAAATGAGTTAACCCAGCTATAAAGGCTTGACATGCAGCCACTCAGAGTGCACAAGGATCAATGGTTTTTCAAAGTCATAGGAACTCTCAACTAAATTCCCATAGCTTGAGGAATAGATTTATGGTTCAGTGAATTTTAAATAGGCAATTGAAATGAGACATATAGGTACAACTTATTATTCAGCAATCGATGGGCATTAAAGAAATCTTACTAAAACCCAGAAAGTAATATCTCACACATTTTCAGCAACTACATTTTGGATATAATTTTAAAACCTGGAGCTGATAGGCTAGCAGAGGTTGAGATTTTAAGATTTTATTCTCTAGTCTCTATTTTTTGCCAAAGTCCTTGGGTATGAGGCAGTGTGGGGTCTATGGGGTGACTCCAAGCTCAGCATCCTCCTGATGCAGGTGGAGCATTCCATTGAAGGATGGGTGTGGGGGCATTTTCCCTGGAGAAGCAGGGGAAAGGGTCTCCAAAATTGTATTTTCCCATGCAGCCAGCCTGAGTCCACTGGGCCAGTGTTTGCCACAGTCTTCAGCAAACTGAGGGTGATGCCAGGAGTCCCAAGGCTGGAGGTGGCCCATACAGGGTCAAGCCCTCTCCATCTCTGCTCTGCAGAACAGGTGACACCCAGAGGATGGAATAGAGGAAAGGTTGTCCTGAGTCAATCTCTCAGACTGTCAGAGGTAATGCCCTAATTGCACATCTCTGTACAGTAAAAGGTGTGAAATATGAGTGGGGCCACCCTCTCTTCCTCCATTGGTCACATAACATTCTCATCAAGTGCTTTCAGCTTCCCAAACCAAAGGCTAGTCTAGCAACTAATAGCACAGTGTCCTTTCAGCACATCCCTCTTCCTCCCTCCTCTGCACCCCAATAAGGAGCAGGATCTTCTCCTCTGCCTGCTAGGAGGCAGAGGCCCAGTCTCCAGGGTCTCTGGTGAGCAAGATGCCTGCAGCCGTCTGTTCATCACACACAAGTTGCCCTAAAAGTTGTTCTTTTAAAAGCCTGCTCAATAATGCATAGTTTTTTGCACTTTTCTGAATGCTCAGATTGGGATTATGGGAAAAGCATGTTACTTAAAATGAGGATTTTTCTCTCGCTTTCAATTCATTAGAAATTTCTTCTGCTTTTTAGGAAGATACTTGTCCTTTTAATTAATCCTATGAGACCAAGCCCAGTAAAGGTGTTGGATACAAGGGAGGGGGTTGGGTAGCTAGCAGGGCAGGAAAAATAGCTTCTTCAACTATTAACTTTTGGGATGAAGGAGGAGCGCCTGTGTCATGAGGGCCGAGGGAAGAGCTAACGGGTGGGAGCCCCAGCCGCTCCTTCAACCTCTGGCACTTGTATGCTCCAGGCAAGCAGAAAGTAAATTAGTGTTTTCATCTGATTAGTGCAGTATTTCTGTATCCAGGGCAACTCAGTGAAATGGATGAAATGGTCACCTGGTGAATGTTCAGCTTTTTTTTCTGTCCCCATCATTATCCTCTGGAATGAATAATACCTAGTACATGCCAGACACCAGGCCAGGCTCTCCACACATGCTAGCTCATCCATTCTCACACCCATCCTGCAATGAACGGGAGGTTAAAATACAACAGCAAGACTCCCTCACTACCCAAACCTAAACCAAAACCAATCTCACTTCCAATGAGTCAGATCTGACTCATAGTGACCCCCTTGGGTTTGCGAGGTGGTATCACTACAGAAGTAGATTGCCCAATCTTCCTTCCGAGGAGTGGCTGGTGGGTTTGAACCACCAACTTTCTGGTTAGCAGTCAAATGCCTTAGGGATGAATTCAGACAGGGAGTTGAGGTGGTGAGGATACTGCTTTATCCTACTCCATTGGGCTCTTGGATTTTGGATAGTGTGTAGCAAGATTTCAGATGGCATGGGGTTTATCCAAACATGTATCTGAATCTATTGGTCTCTTGCATGTGGATAGCAAGAGATAGCTGGGGGCTACTCAGTTTTTGCTCAGGTCCAAGACTGTCGGTGCTGATGTTTCCCTGAACTCCAAGAGGAGGAAATAGTTGCCTCAAGTAGGACTTGGAAATGAAAAGGCAGGAAAATGTTTTTCTGCCCTTTGTCCCCAAGCATAGGGAGAGGTACTTCAAAGAGAACTTTTATATGAGTTTTCTGTGTCCCCAAAGCCAGAGCCCAATGGACTAGGTCCAGAGTCAAGCTTAGGGAATTGAAAGGGAAGGACTGTGTGCCATCTGAATGACTTTGCTTATCAATATTTCTTTAGTTAGTAGTAGGCTCTTAAAACTCAAGCAGCAAAATAATAATAGTTAACATTTATCTGGTCACGTAGTAGGCGTTCTGGTAGCATAGTGCCTAAGGCACTTGACTGTTAACTAGAAGGCTGGCAGTTCAAACTCACCAGCCACTCCTCGGAAGGAAGATGAGGCAATCTACTTCCATAGTGATATTGCCTTGGAAACCCAAGGAGGGTCGCTATTAGTCAGGTCTGACTTGATGGCACATAACAGCAACAACAACAACAACAACATTTATCATGTGTCAGCACTGTGTATTATATCCCTACTTTACAGATGAAGGAGCTCTGGTGACACTGTGGTTAGAGCATTGGGCTGCTAACCAAAAGGTCAGTGGTTCGAACCTACCAGCTGCTCTGTGGGAGAACGATGAAGCAGTCTATTTCTGTAAATATTTACAG